ACTTCAAACATACCTCGGCTTTCTATTGAAACTGCTCTCTGTAACCCAAATGTGACAGGCAAGCAGTCAAAACCCATGCCATCTTGGCCCCTGCGACTTGTAATAAGTAATTAAGGACTGTAATTTCCACCCTACCCAGACAATGTGTAAACAAATGCTAATCTTGACTTTTGTGAACCACTTAAGTAACAATCAGAACGTCCAAAGTCCCCTCGCCCTCATCTTCGCCCAGGAATCCACTGGAATGTCCGGAGCCCCTCACCCTCATCTCCGCCCAGGAGGTGATTTACAGAATCCACTAGCCCTCAGAACGCCTGAAGTCCCTCACCTCCACCCCTGCCCCTCACCTTCACTCCTGAGGTGGTTTTACAGGTATAAAAGGTCTTGACACCCTCCTTTCGGGGCCATGGGTTGGAGAGACACGAGTCCTGAGTCCTCCGGGGCTGCCGGCAATAAAGACCCTGCAATTTGTCATTTAAAAAAATTTATAAATTTCCTTCTTTTTTTTTTTTTGAGACGGAATCTTACTCTGTTGCCAGGCAGGAGCACAGCAGTGGTGTGATCTCAGCTCACTGCAACCGCTGCCTCCCACGTTCAAACAATTCTTTCGCCCCAGCCTCCCAAGTAGCTGGGATTACAGGCATGCGCCACCAGACCCGGTTAATTTTTGTATTTTTGTAGAGACGGGGTTTCTCCACATTAGTCAGGCTGGTCTCGAACTCCCAACCTCAAGTGATCCACCCGCCTCGGCCTCCCAAAGTGCTGGGATTACAGGCGTGAGCCACCGCACCAGACCGCGATAGGCTGATATTACTCCCAACATTGTAGTGTGTCTACACCCCCATTTTGATATTGTTCTTAATTTCCAGAAGGGAAGAAGATAATATTACTCCCCAAATCACAAAAGGTGTATACCTTTCTGTGACATTGCTCCTAATAACTGGGGGGGAAGAAGATAATATTACACCCAGTAACACAGGGGGTGTACATCTTCCTGCGATACTGTTCCTAATAGCCAGGAGAGAATGATATTAATTCCAGTATCTCAGGGGGTGTACACCCATTCTGTGATATGGTTCCTAACATCCACGTGGGAAGAGGATATTATTCCTAATATGGCAGGGGTGTTAATCCCACCGCTGTGATTGTTCCTAATATCTGGGGTGGGGGTGGCAGAGAGGATATTACTCCCAATATCACAGGAGATGTACACTCCCACTATGATAGTGTTTCTAATATCCAGAGGAGAACAGGATGATATGACTTCCAATATCACAGGTGTATGCCCCCCTGTGATATTTTTTTCTAATACCCAGGAAGGGAGAGGTATTAGGTATTATATTGCTCCCAATATCGCAGCAGGTGTACACACCCCCTGTGTTGTTTCTAATATTGGCAGGAGGGAGAGGATGAGTTTACTACCAATATCACAAGAACTGTACACCCATGCTGGGCTATTTTCCCTGCTTATCTGGGGGGTAGAGGATAATATTCCTCCCAATATCGCTGGTGGTGTACACACCGTCTTTAACATTGTTCCTAAACAGCTAAAGGGGTAAAGGGGGATATTACTCTTCATACTGCAGGGGGTATACACTGCCTCTATGATACTGTTCCTAATATCCGGGGGGGTGGGGCGGACAGAATAATATTACTTCCAATAGAGCAGCAGTATCCATCCCCCTGTGATATTGTTCTTAACATCCAGGGGAAAAGTGGATATTACTCCCAATATCCTAGAAGGTGTACAGGCCCCTCTCCCTTGATATTGGCCCTAATATCCAGGGATGTACATCACAAGGGTTGTATCACCCCTTGTGATATTGTTTCTAATACTTGACGGGGAGAGGATAATATTACTGACAATACTGCATTAAGTTTACACGCCCCTGTGATATTGTTCCAATATCACAGGTGGTGTACAACACTTCTGTGATACAGTTCCTAATATCCAGGGAAGACAGGATGATTATACTCTCAATATCACACGAAATGTACACCACCACTGTAATATTGTTTCTAATATCCAAAAACAGAGAGGATATTATTCCAAATATCTCAGGAAGTGCACAACCCCCCAGTGATACTGTTCCTAATATCTAGGGGATGAGAGATGATATTACTCCCAATGTGGCTGGGGCTGACACCCACCCTGTGATATTGTTCCTAATATCCAGGGAAGGAGAGGATGATGTTACTGCCCATATCGCTGGGGGTGTACACTCCTTGTGTGATATTATTTCTAATATCCAGGGCAAAAGAGGATACTACCCCCAATATAACAGGGAATATCCCCCTTCCCCATGATATTCTAATATCCATGGCGAGAGGGAGATATTACTGACAAATATCACAGGGGGTGTAAACCTCTCCTGTGATATTGTTCCTAATATCCAGGAAGGGAGAAAATATTACTCCTGATATTGCAAGGGTGTACACTTCACCTGTGATATTGTTTCTAATAAACAGGGGTGGGGGGAGAAAATAGTATTACTCCTAACATCGCCGGGGATGTACACCCTCACTCTGATATTGTTTCTAACATTCGGGCGGGTGATTTTACTCCCAATATCACACGGCATGTAGCGCCCCTCCCCATGATATTGTTCCTAATATCCAGTGGGGGAGAGAATGTAGGTACTCCTATTATCACAGTGGGTGGGTATACACCTCCCTGTAGTTTGATCTCCAGGGGTGATAGGATATTACTTCCAGTATCACAAAAGGTGTATACCCCCCAGTGATATTGTTTCTAATATCCAGGGGTAGATGATATTACTGTCAATATCAAAGGGCCTGTAGGCTCCCCTCATGTGATATTGTTTCTAATATTCAAAGGTAGAGAGACTCATATTACTCCAAATATTGCAGAGACTGTACACATCCCCTTATGATATTGTTTCTAATATTCCGGGATGGGAGAAAATGACATTACTCCTGATCAGACAAAAGGTGTACGTTGTTCCTAATCTCCTGTTCTCGCAGAATGATATATCCTTCCTAATATCCAGCGGTAAAGATGATGATATTGCTCCCAATATCGCATGTGGTGTACACGGCCCCTCCCCGCTGTGATATTGTTCCTAATATCTAGAAGAGGATATTACTCTGAATGTTGCAGGGGATGTACATTCCTTTTGTAATATTGCTACTAATATCCAAGGACAAGAGAATGATGTTATTTTCAAGATCGAGAAGGATGTACATCCCCCTGTGATATTGTTCCTAATATCCAGGAGGAAGAGGATGATAGAACTTTCAGTATCAAAGGAAGTGAACATCTCCCTGACATTGTTCCTAATACCCAGAGGGAAAGAGAATGATGTTATTCTGAATATCGCAGGGGGGTGTAAACCCCGCCTGCGATATTGTTAATAATATACAAAAGGGGAGAGAATATTACTCCCAATATTGCAGGGGGTGTACATACCCTTTATGACATTGTTTCTAATATTTACTGGAAGGTGACTGATGATACTACTGTCAATATGGCAGAGGGAGTACACCCCCCTTGATATTGTTCCTAATATTTGGGGAAGAGGAGGTTATTACTTTCAATATCAAAGGGAGTACACAGCCCCCAGTGATATCGTTCCTAATATCCAGGGGAAGAGAAAATGCTATTGCTCCCAAAACCTCAGAAGGTGTACAACCCTCCTGTGGCATTATTCATTCAATACAGATGAAGTGTGGATAATATTACTTCCAATATCACAGAGGGTGAAGACCCCTTGTGATATTGTTCCTAATAGCCAGGGGTGGAGAGGAAATTACTCCCAATAGCATAGAAGGTGTACACCTGTCCCCGTAATATAGTTCCAAATATCCACAAAGAATGGTATCACTCCCAAAATCACAAAGGTACACACCTCATGTGATATTATTGTGAGTATCAAAGTGAAGAGTATTGCAGCCGGGCGCAGTGGCTCACGCCTGTAATCCCAGCACTTTGGGAGGCCGAGGCGGCCGGGCGCAGTGGCTCACGCCTGTAATCCCAGCACTTTGGGAGGCCGAGGCGGGTGGATCACGAGGTCAAGAGACAGAGACCATCCTGGTCAACATGAAACACCGTCTCTACTAAAAATACAAAACATTAGCTGGGCATGGTGGCACGTGCCTGTAATCCCAGCTACTCAGGAGGTTGAGGCAGGAGAATTGCCTGAACCCAGGAGGTGGAGGTTGCGGTGAGCCGAGATCGCGCCATTGCACTCCAGCCTGGGTAACAAGAATGAAAAAACGCCTCAAAAAAAAAAAAAAAAAAAAAAAAAAAAGTGAAGAGTATTATATTACTTTTAATGTTGCAGGAACATAGACCCTGACTGTGATACTGTTCCTAACATTCAGACAAAGAGAGTCCGTTATCACTCCCAACATCGAAAAAGATGTAGAGCCCCCAAGGATACTGTCCCTGATATGCAGGGGTAAAGGATGGTATTACTCCTAATATTGTAGACAATGAACACCCCCCTTGTAATATTGTTCCTAGTATCTGCAGAAAAAGACAAGGATATTACTCTCAATATGGCAAGAGGTGTACACCACGCTGTGATATTGTAACTTATGTCCACACATACACAGAAATTACATTAAACTAAATATTGCATGTGGTGAAACCCCCGTGATTTCAATTCTAATATCAAGGGGGGCGAGAATGATATTTTTGTTAATATCACAGAGGTGGAACTACAACTAGTGTTATTCTGCCTAGTATCAAGAAGGAACAGAATGACATTATATTCTCCCTATGATATGGTTCCTAGTATCATATTACTCCAAATTTTCTAAATAGCCGCTGAGGGCAGCCCCCTAGCCATAGAGTTTGTAATATCCAGGGGGGGCCGGGGTAATATTACTTGCCCTATGGCGGGGGGTTGATCTGGGTACATATTTTACACAGATGTGACTCCTAATATCAACATCGGGTTGATATGGGTGTATATTTTAAAGAGTTATTACTCCTAATATCATAGTTGTTGTAGAGTATGTTTGCACACCTTGTGATCTTGTTTGTAATATTAAGCATGTCATTACTCGTAATATCAAAGTATGTGTGAAGTATTTGTGTACACCCTGTGATATTATTCATAATATCTTAGGGAGAGATAGTACGAATCACAGGTGTGGGCACCTCCCTATTATATCGTTCATAATAACCAGGGGCAGCCATGCTATTACTCGCCATATTGTGGGGAGTTAATATGGGGGTACATTTTAAAGACAGTACTTTGAATATCACAGTCGGGTTGATTTGGGTGCATATTTTAAACAGATATTACTCCCAATATTACATTCAGGGGGTTGATATGGGTGTATATTTTAAAGAGCTATTACTCCTGATATCTTAGTTGTTGTAGAGTATGTTTGAACGCTTTGTGATAGTTTGTAATATTCAGCGTATGATGTTAATCGTAATATCAAAGTATGTGTACAGTATCCGTGTACAACCTGTGATATTATTCGTAATATCTTAGGGAGAGATACTACAAATCACAGGTATGGCCACTCCTCTGTGATATGGTTTGTAATATTCAGGGGGAGCCGGGGTGATATTACCTGCCATATGGTGGGTGGTTGATGTGGGTGTACATTTTAAAGAGATATTATTACTCCCAATATTACCGTCAGGTTGATATGGGTGTATATTTTAAAGAGATATTATTCCTAATATCATAGACAGGTTGATTTGGGTGTGTATTTTAAAGAGATATTATTCCTAATATCATACACGGGTTGATTTGGGTGTGTATTTTAAAGAGTTATTACTCCTAATATCAGTCTGTGTGGAGTATGTTCACATTGTGATATTGTTTGTAATATTCAGCATATGACATTACTTGTAATATCAAAGTGCGTGTTCAATATTTAGGTACACCCTGTGATACTATTCGTAATATCCTTGGGAGAGATACTAGGAATCACAGGTGTGGGCATTCCCGTGATATGGTTCATAATATCCAGGGACGGCCAGGGTGATATTACTCGCCATATTGTGGGGGGTTGATATGGGTATACATTTTAAAAAGATATCATAGTCTGGTTGATATGGGTGTATATTTTAAAGAGATATTACTCCTAATATCATAGCCAGTGTAAAGTATGTTTGAACACTTTGTGATATTATTCGTAATATTCAGCATGTGACATTACTCGTAATATCAAAGTATGTGTACAGTTATTTGGGTACACCCTGTGATATTATTTGTAATATCTTAAGGAGAAATACTACTTGTAATATCAAAGTGGCAGTACACCATGTGTGTACACTCTGTGACATTAGTGGTAATATCCTAGGAAGAGATGACACTCCTAATATCACTGTGGGAGTGAGTACACCATGTGTGTACATCCGTTGATACCTGTAACATCCTAGAGAGATATTACTCCTCATATCAAACTGAGTTTACATCCTGTAATATTATTCATAATATCCTAGAAAGATATTTCTCCTAATATCACAGTGAGTGCACACAATGCATGTATACCATATGTGCACACTGTGATATTCGTATCATAGCTATCACATATGTACTTGTACATGTGCACATATATGTACACGTGTACACATAGAACACATGTATATACTGTAATATCACAAATGTATATGTACATGTGTACACAATACATACGTACATGTGTACAGTATGTACATGTGTATAATATGTACATTTGTTGTGATATTAAGACTCTATCTCAAGAATAAATATTTCAAAGTAGGTATTTCTAAGTAAATAAGTATTTCAAACATACATAAATCTGTAGGAGCCCATATGCCAAACACCTGGGTACCACTCTCTGGGGTTATCAGAACACACTCATATGTAGTGGTACTTGCTTCAGACTTTTTCTTGTTTCATGAACTAAATCTTATATATAAAATAAAGCCCCCAGAACCTCCCCCCACAGGATTATTCTTCTACCCGTTCCTAGAGGTACCCATTCCTCTGAATTTAGAGTTTGTCACTCCTGTGCAACATTTTATAGTTCTGCTGGCCTCACTGGCACTGGTGATGCTGGTCATGCTCAGGCTCCTCTTGATCTCGGCCACGACTGGGTAGATGTCCTCCTCCTGGTCCTCCAAGTCCGCGTCTCCATGCCTGAGGTGGTAGTGGGAGGTGCTGGTGCTCCTGTTGGCCTCTGTGGGGTAGCAGTCCTGGTAGCCCTCTTTGCTGGGTTGGTAGTAGCCATCTTCTTTCTGGTCGTGGGCCTCCAGGACAGAGGGCTCATCCTCCAGGATGGTTAGGTGGCCGTCCGGCTAATCCTGGCTGCCCTCCGCACAGTGGCCGTAGGGGTGCAGGCCTGCCGAGTCCAGCCACTCCTCTCCTGTCCCAGGGAAGGGAACAGAGGGGCCTGAGAGCAAGGATCCTGGTACAGCCCCTGCAGATGCTGAAGCAAGGCTTCTCGCGCGGGATGCGAGAGCCGCCGCCTGGTCCCCGCTGCACCCGCCCGCCGGTTGTGGGAGGAAAAAGTGGCCGTAGGAGAGGAGTGGGGCCTTCGGGCTGCACCCCCAGATCCCAGCAACAGCCACCCCGCAACCCCGCGGCCCTGAGGAGTCCAGAGTGCGGCGCTCGGAGCACTAGGGCCGCAACCTCGGTGCCGCCCCACACTCCTCCGGGTCCCTGCGGTGCCGCGCGAGGCCGCAGGCTGCCACCGACGAGTCAGGCAGCCCGGGTCCCGCAGCTTACCTGGCCAGGGCGGGGAGGGGGGTGGCCTGCAGCAGCACGCTGCGGTCTCGGTGAGTCGCCGCCCGCTCAGTCAGCGAAGCCAAGCTCCTCAGCGAGCCGGCGCGGAGCCGCAAGCACCTTCTACAGCGAAGAAGCCCCGGGCGCGCCCCGGAAGTGACGTATGACAACGCGCAGGGCCGCCTCTACCGGGCGCACGCGCACTCACCGGGGCCGTCTCTGCCGGGCGCACGTACACTCACCTGAGCCTGTGGGATTTGCTCTACTGAACCGCTCCCTTCGCCTCACCCTCTCTTGGGTTTCTGGGGCGGGAAACACTTCACGGAGACATGGCGCGGAGGAAAGAGATGGAATACAAAAATGATGCGTCGGAGCCGGGCATGCGCGAGGCCCCGCACCCCCTGGCCCCGGCGCTGGGGCAGTCGGCAGGGCGGGCGGGTGCATCCTGACCCGGGTGCGCAAGGCTGGTCTCCTGGACCGGGGCTACAGCTCACACGGTGGAAGGCGCGCCGCCCCCGAATGCCTGGGGACCTGGGGAGCACCCAGATTCCCGAGGCCCTGCTGGCTGTGGAGCTGCAGTGGTCTGGTCCCGCGGGTAGAGCCGGTGAACACGAGGCTCCCGCCGTGCCACGGCTGCCGCACTGCGCCCTGCTCACTCTCCCCCCGCTCGCCCACCGCAGTTGTAAGAGGCGACCCTAGAGCAAGGAACCCTCTGGGATCGCCGCCTCCGAAAGCGCTATCCCACAGGAGAGGCCCCTTGCTGCCTCCCCACCGCAGCTCCCCTAGGCGCTTGCAAGACTCCAAGTCTTCCCTACGGTCCCCTCCAAGCACCCCAGCACCCCGTTTCCGATACCCTGTGCTGCTTTGGCCCCCAACCCTAGGGCCTCACTCCAGGCCATTCTCTCCTTGCTGTCCTGAATGGAGAGGACCCTGACCTTTGTGGGGCCCTGGGGAACACACACACATCCCCAGGGGAGCCAGTCTTCGCCCCCACAGGGTAAGAAATTCCCTGGAGGCCCTGGAAGGTCGTGCCAGAGACTCCGGTGTCACCTTCAGCCCTTTGGCGCTTTCATTGAGTCCCAGGCAGACGTGGTAAACTGTGAGAGACGCACAGGGTGACTTGTCTGGGCAGAGCAGGGGCTCAGGTGCCTCCCTCCCTGAGTGATTTGCCCTCTTTTCTCCTTGTGGTTGGATTAGGTGAAGCTGTGTCCGAAGGTGGGGGTAAAGAAGGGCAGAGGACCTAGGGGGTGCGGAGACCCCATCTTCATGCTGCCTTCAGGGCCTGAGCTGAGACCCTGAGAAGGGGCTGGGGAAGCCAAATCCTGAGCTGCCCTAGGGTTAGATACAGTGTGGACTTGGCCTCTCCACACTCTGTCCCCGCCAAACACAAATCCCCAGGGCCAGAGCTGCCAGTGGGGGCTGCTCCTGGTAGGGCAGCTTTGTAGCCACAGGGCCAAACAAAGGGGCAAAGGCAGAGCTGGGGCAGGCCAGCGAGGTTCGTGATCCCCTCCCCGCTCAGGTGAGCATACCTTCACTGCTTACTTTCCACCTGGATAGACATTCTGCTTACCTGGCCAACACAAAATTCATCCAGCCTCCTGTGGCCCAGCCTTTCTTCAATGCCAGTGGTGGGAAGCAACAATTACGAAGCAATGATTCCAAGAAGATAAATTCAGTCATCATCTTGCCTGACCGTTGTGTGGTTATATCCCATAGGAAACCGGACAGCTGTGCCTGAAGCTGATCCACACCATCCCCTCACCTCCTCAAACCCCCACCCCTATCTGTGTGAACGAGTGCAGGTGGGCAAGTTGCATGCTGTTCCTTCCACAGCCTCCCTTGAGATCTTGCCGTAGGCAGGCTCTGGGCCAGTCACTGAAAATTAAACCCCATCCCAGCACCTGGGAATGAGTGGCTGGTGTCCACAGTCCACAGGATGAAAGGTACAGGCCTAGGGCCAGGAACAGTGGCTCCCACCTGTAATCCCAGTGCTTTGGAAGCTGAAGCAGGAGGCTCACTTGAGCCCAGCAGTTCAAGTGTGCAGTGAGCTATGATCATGCCACTTGCATTCCAGCCTTGATGGCGGAACAAGACCCTATCACTTTAAAAAATAAAATAAATTAAATAAATTTAAAAATAAAGTTACAGGCCTGCCCCCAGCTTCACTCAGGACCTAAATCTGGTAGGCTTGAGCCAACTGCCAGCAGTCAGAGCATTATTAAAGAATCATTAGGACTAATAGCTAATGCATGTGGGACTTAAAACCTAGATGATGGGTTGATAGGTGCAGCAAACCACCATGGCACACATATCCCCCATGTTACCAACCTACACGTTCTATACTTATATCCAGGAACTTAAAGTAAAATTTTAAATAAAAAAAAAAAGAATCAGGCTGGGCGAGGTGGCTCATGTCTGTAATCCCAGCACTTTAGGAGGCTGAGGCAGGCAGATCACGAGATCAGGAATTCGAGACCAACCTGGCCAACATGGTGAAACCCCATTTCTACTAAAATACAAAAATTAGCTGTGTGTGGTGGCAGGTGCCTGTAATCCCAGTTACTCAGGAGGCTGAGGAAGGAGAACTGCTTGAACCTGGGAGGCGGAGGTTGTAGTGAGCCGGGTTAGCATCATTGCACTTCAACCTGGGCAGCAGAGTGAGACTCAGCCTTGGAAAAAAAAAAAGGGGGGTGGGGGAATACAAGACAGTTGCTTCCTATCTTTCTCGCTCTCTGCCATGTGAGGCTACAAGAAGATGGCCCTCTGTGAACCAGGAGGTAGGCCCACTTCAAGAACCAACCATGCTGACACCCTGATCTTGGCCATCTAGTCTCCAGAACTGGGAGAAATCAGTGTTTGTTGTTTAAGCCACCCAGTCTATGGCATTTTGTTAGAGCAGCCCAAACTAAGACACTGCCCCAATCATAATGATATCCCCCTACGTTTCCTTCTAAATGCTTTCAAAAGCCGGGCGCAGTGGCTCAAGCCTGTAATCCCAGCACTTTGGGAGGCCGAGGCGGGTGGATCACGAGGTCAAGAAATCGAGACCATCCTGGTCAACATGGTGAAACCCCGTCTCTACTAAAACTACAAAAAATTAGCTGGGCATGGTGGCGCGTGCCTGTAATCCCAGCTACTCAGGAAGTTGAGGCAGGAGAATTGCCTGAACCCAGGAGGCGGAGGTTGCGGTGAGCCGAGATCGCGCCATTGCACTCCAGCCTGGGTAACAAGAGTGAAACTCCGTCTCAAAAATAAATAAATAAATAAATAAATGCTTTCAAAGTTTTCTTGTTTTTTGAGACAGAGTCTCACTCTGTCACCCAGGTTGCAGTGCAGTGGCATGATCTTGGCTCACTGCAACCGTTGCTCCCGGCTTCAAGAGATTCTACCGCCTCACCCTCCTGAGTAGCTGGAACTACAGGCTCAAGCCACCATGCCTGGCTAATTTTTGTATTTTTAGTAGAGGTGAGGTTTCACCATATTGGCCAGGCTGTTCTCAGCTCCTGACCTCGTGATCCACCCACCTTGGCCTCCGAAAGTGCTGGGATTACAGGCGTGAGCCACCACGCCCAGCCCATTTTCAAAGTTTTGCCTTTCACAATGAGATTTTTAATCAACTGGCTTTTATTTTTGATATGATGTGAACTAGGGATCTAGTCGTATTTACTTTGCATATGGATAGTCAATTGTGCAAACACCATTTGTAGAATATTCCGTCCTTTCCCCAATAAGCTACAGGGCAACTTCTGTCTCAAGTTTCCATGTGTCATGGGTCTTTTGCTGGGTTCCTTTTCTCTTCCAGTGGCTGATTTGTGCATCCCCTGAACACTTTACTGTCCTAATTCCTTTACCATCATAGTATGTACACAAATCTTCAAACTTCCTTTACCCACTGATCTCTATGCCATTCTTATTCTTTGAAAATATCTTCATTTAAGTTCTGCTAGAAGAAAAGCCTGAGTCAAGAATGCAGGTACAAGCATTTTTTAAGAAGGTGCTTCCAAGAAGCACAGGTAAGAAGGTGGAAAGTGAGATAGGGAAGGGAAAAAAGCCAACAGATGGTGCATTTATGAGCAGGTTGCCACAAAAGGTAACTGGGGCTCAAACTCACTAGGCCCTTCAAAGATACTGCAGCTGAGGGGCGGGGAAGCTGTGGTATTTATGCACCAACTCCCATTCCTCATGGCTATTTTAAAATGGACACAAAATTTACTTTAATCAGATATATTAAGACACACAGATATGGAAATGACTGTCCTGAAGGAAGGAGTTTTTGATACTCAGAGGTCCCTAGAAACAAGTGCCAATCCATGCTATGCAGGGATACATGGAGAGGCACCAGGGTCAGTCAAGAAGTCAAAGGAGCTAGGGGAAAATGTGGGCAGGAGCTTTATTTGTGGCATCCAAGGGAAAGGCAAGGCAAGGCAGGGTAAGCAGGGACAGGATTAGCTATTAATAGTGTGAATAATTTTACTCAGCTCTGGGGCATAGGGCTGTTCCTAGTTTTCTGGTTCATGGCCCTGGGGTGATGAGGGCAGTTGGACAGTGGCCCAGTGTAAGAGCCTGACGAAGGAGGTAGTTGGGAGTATGGGCTTTGGATTGGCTGGTTTGCAGATGGAAGGTGTACTTGCAGGTGAGTCCTTTACTGTTTCTAGGAACTGGCTCACCCTGGGTGCAGTGGTCTCTCCAGGATCAGCAAGGCCCCAGCTCTCAATACTTCAGGAAATACAGGAAATGAAAAGGCATGATGAATACACTGAGGGTGCTCTCGAAGGCACCAGCCCCTGGCATGTATGTGGCTGGCAATGCCGAGGGCCATAGGGACGGCACAAACAGTGTCTGCTGCACTATTTTTTTTTTTTTTTTTAAGAAAAAATGTCTATTATTTATTACACTGAACAACTCTGACCACCAGAGATGAATGGGGGTCAGGAGAGAAGAATATCTTGCTTCTCAATAAACTTTCCTTCCTTGTTCAAACATTTTTGAGG